GGGTTGGGGAGGCAGCAAAGGAGGCTCAGGGGAGGGGGGGTGGGGGTGGGAATGGAGGAGTGTCCGCAGCGCCAGGATCTGGCAGCGTTATCCACACAGTGTGGGAAGATATTCCAGCACACCCTCCTGCGTATGTTGGGACTGAAGGATTCCACTTCGCACTAAACATATTTATTGCTCTGTATCAAGGGGAGCTCTGGGCAAGAATTTGGGTGGGATGTGGGATTAAGCCCCCCAGACCATGCCGGGACCCTGAACACAAGGTCACTCCTTGTGCCACCATTAGCTTCTTCTGTGGTGAGGAATGGCTCCTGGTCAGCCAGGAGGACGTACAGGAAAAACAAGCGTTCAGAGAGCTCCCGCAGGCTCAGAGCAGCCACCAATCAGCAGCTCATCACCCACAGCATTATTTGTGATGGATCCTGGCGGAGAGAGGGCTTTCCAACAGCAACCCCACCAGGGATAGGGACACCCCCCGACACCAGTCCCAGCCCACCACCTCCCAAGCATCCTCAGCCACCTCCAAGGTGGTCAGTCCTTTGCTGCACCCCTGGGTGCAGGGTGACAAATGCACCCAGCGAGGCTGCAGACCATCTAGCAGGGTGGACTGGACCGTCCCTCTCCCTGCACACACCCAGAGGTGGCACAATGGAGAGCAGGGGCCGCTTCTGTTCAACCCCTGCCCCGTTCCCCAGGGATACAATCTTTAACTTGGTTTTCCAGCCACCAAGCATCACTCCGGGGAGGACCGGCCTCCCCAAGGGGCTAGGATTTCCAGGTTCCCAAAATGCAAGAGCTTCCAGCACCCACTTTGCCAAAGCACCATCCAGCAGCAGGGAACAAGCCAGCTCTGCCCCAGCACCAAGAGCTCACCTGGCCATCACCCACAAGGCACCAGCCCAGCCGGAGCAACGCCGCTGGGATGTGCCAAGCAGCATCGACCTTGGGGAGCTTTGCAGGCCAGTGAATAATTGGCTCAAAGACCTGCATTGAGCCTTCTGCGCACGCGTGCACAGCCCACGAAACCCCCTGGTACCAAGCCTCCCCACACCGGGGAAGCAGCACAGGGCCCCAGGTGCTCTGTCTTTCTACCCACCCACACCAGTGCCACCCAGTGAAGCTGGGACATGTCACCAGCAGCATCACATCCACGTCCCATCGCGTCACCTAAGCCCTGCTCCGCTCAGGGGAGAGAAACGCTACGGCTGCCAATCCATTCCACCCCATTACCCGGGTCCCCCCACACCGGGGTTGAAGACCAGCAGGCGCGATGGCCCCAAGACAGCCGGTGCATGGGCATCGTCCAGCCCCGGTGGGTGACGGAGCAAGCCAGGCGCCATGTTGCGGCGGCACAAGCGCACGGCACGCTGGAGGAGAGCAAGGGGAGGGGGCAGAGCACCTCCCCGGTCCCGAGGGCTGGGCGCGGAGGACTGCAGCAAAATGCTACCGAGGCCAGACGTTTTCCAGCACCCTCTCCAAGATGGAGGGCAGCTGGCGACCCACTGCACCAACGCCTGCTCAAGGGGTGCGACAAGAGAGGCGCTGTGCTAGCAGTGATGCTACCACTCAGCCAGCTGCTCTGACAGCCAGAGGGCAAACGTGCAGGGCTGCAAGCTCGGCTTCGGCATGTAGCTACAGACAAGCGACCTTTGCGAGCCCTCCCAGCACGGAGTCCAGCAGCATCCAGGCTCTGGCTTGC